CAAAAGGGGGCAGCATGGTGTAAGGAGAGAAGGGATGCAGACAGGTTCCCAAACCAACTTTAGCTTAATTCTGTCACCAGGCAGCTGAGCCATCCTCAGGAGCTCAGCTCATCTCCTTGAGCCTAGTTTTGCTCAGCATTAGACTAAAATCATGGCTTCCTAAAGGGATCTGAGCTAGTTTAGCAGAGTCTGATGCTGATGGGATTGTGGACAGCTATTTTAGACTAGACTTACTGTAACCAAAATATTTTCCTTAATTTTTAAACAAAAGTCTATGTCTGAATTCCTGAACAACCTTGTCAAAAGATCTACTCAAACTTTGGTAGATCTGATTACGTGCTTGGTTCTCACAAGATCTGGTTTTATTTACCAGAATGGACAGGTTTGAGAAATGGGAACAAAACGACTATTCATCCTTACTTTTTTCCCATCAATTTACCTTAAACAGAAAGGTTTCAAGTACAGCATCTACCCATTTGTCTCTAGAAGCACATTCTCATCAGAGTTCACCTCATCCCTTCCCATTTATATGGACAGATAGTTCCCTCCTTAGGCTGTGTGATGTGGTGTGCTGGTAAAGCTGCTTTGTGCAGATGCACATGAAGAACTTAATTGAAGGTAAACAAAACATGGCAGTTTAGGCTCACTTGAAAGAGTAATGCTTACCTGGGCCAGACTCAGTTTCTTTCTTGGTACTGATCTCTGATTACCATGAGATAAGGGAGAAATGAGTAAATGAGTAAGAGAGAAAACCTGCTCTCTGCAGTGCCTGTGAACTCCAGAGCTATTCCAGGGAACCCCAGCCCTCCCAGGGCCTTCATCAGGGTTTTATGGAGCCCTGGAGCGGTCACAGCAATGCCCCCTGCCTGAGAGGGCTGCCCCTGCAGAGAACCCTGTGCCTGCATTAATGCTCCTGATGGGTCAGGGGCAGAGCTAATCCCAGAGACCACGCCAAAAGTCATTCCCCGTCGCCTAGGAGCCCAGGGCCTCTCCTGGGGCCAGAGTTCCTTGGTAAGCCCATGGTGGGGGGGGTGGGGGGGGTGTCCATGCATCTCCTCCCAGAGACACTCAGTTGTTGGTTGGAGTGTGTGCAGACACTCTTGTCCTGACCAGCAGTACAGCATTCCAGATTACAACCACAATCAAATACAAAAAGAATAGGACTTGCTACATTTCAGAAAGAAACAATTATATATTTTTTAATTTAAAAGTAGAGATCTATGTCAAAATCAACTGTCACAAGTGATCTTGGCCTCATTTTGAGCAGATCCTGAAATGGTGTTTCCTCTTCTTCCTATTCCTGCACTCCCAGATGTGTGTGTGTGTGAGACAGGGTCAAATTACCACTTTATACTGAATGTAGGAAGACAGGCATTGTGGATCCACAGAGCCAGTGTTGTCTCCCACCTGACTTTCCCTCTAACTGACAGTGGCCTGTCTGTTGGAGGTTCACACCCCACAGTCTGAAATCCCATAATGTCTGGGACATAAAGGTTGTGTTTGCTTTTTTTCCTTTTTCTCTTCATTATCCATTGCTTTTTCTTAATCATTTATCAGGCTCCACTCACAGGAGAAAAACTCCTGACAAAATCTGATATGATTGTGAGAGCCAAAATCTGTGGATTTTGGTGCCAACCTTTAGAGAAAGGCATGACTCACTCCCCTACAAGAAAAGGACTCGACATTAAAAAAAAAAAAAAATGTTATTGACCAGTCTGGACAAGAACAGGAAACCAGATCCCCCTTGCAGACAAGATGTAGTCTGTCCCCATGGAACTTTGCCACTTGGTAACAGGAGAAAACCCCGGAAACTGGAACAGTAGGGCATGGCCAGGCGATCTTGACTCCAGGCTGTATGGTTGGAACTCGTAGTTTTCCATTTTATTTAATGGTGATATGAGTCAGCATTTGAAAGGACAGCCGATAGTTAATGGTATTTTCTACCCAAATTATTCTACGTATTGTTTTCTACATTCTATGCACAAATTCCAGAAGTAGAGAAAGAAAGAAAATAGAAATTAAACCACAAGTATTCTCTGAGTTGAAGGTTGAGAAACACTATTGCTTGGCAGAATGCTGGAGGGTCTGATGGACTGAGGTCTCGTGGACGCCAAAGTCGGTCTGCCTGTGAGTGTAGGTGGTGGGGAAAGATGTTTGTGGGCTGTAACGAGCAGATTTGGGCTAAAAAATCCTGTTGTGTCAAAATTCAGTTATGTTCCAGAGACACAGACAATGGAGAGTGAGAAGCCCATTGTCTTGGATAATAACTTTCAGAGGGAGTGAGGTAGGCTATGCTCTGGGCTTCTGGCTTTCTGCTGTCTAAGGCCATTTCACTGTGGCCATCATGAGGTCACTCTTACAAAAATACTTACAGAGAAGGAAGAAACCACATGTATTGGACACTTCTCATGCGACAGAAATATGCTAGGTGCAGACAACAACTTTGAAGTAAATGGAACTTCTCCCGTTTTAAAGATGAGGCTGTTCCTGCTGTGAGATCCCTGCCTGTGTGTGCGTGCTGGGCACTGGGTCAGGGTCAGTTCCTCACCTCGAGGAGTTGACAATCCAAGATGTTAGAATGCTATAAGGGCATTAGGATTACAGAACTAAAACCTGAAATCAATATAAAATGGATGACCTGCAAAGAACTTTTAAGCGGGTATTCTGCACAGAGCTTCAAAAAATGCTCAGGGCATTTAAAGGACAGAGGTAAATTCTTAGCCATGTTGAGTGATCATTCAGGCACATAGTTGTGGTGAGGACTGAGGACAAGAGGCATTGGAAGTTCCGAGTCTAGACAGGGTGGAGTGAAGAAAAGCAATTAGTATCAGGGTTGTGAAATGCATTGTCATGAACATGGTGTTTACGGGATGCCACATGGGGCCATGCATGCTTGAGAGCTAACGATGCCAGCATGGGTGCACTTGTATTCTTCTCTGTTGTATTTCACAAGCTTGAACAAACCTCCATAACACATGTTTGCACCCCCTTGAATTTGGGGTTTTTTTAGCAAGCCAGCCAACCAGTGAGACACCTCGACAGCTCCTGAGTTAGATCAACAAAGCCCCTTCTCTGGTTTGCTTCATTTATTTTATCCTCTGGACCCTGCATGGTGTAGTAAATCTAAGTTCTGTTTCCTTGGGTACTCACAGTTGCTATGGAGGTAGATGTAAGGCTTACAGAAATGTTTAACAGAGTTCATTTTGCATTCGCTTATTTGCTTAGTAACAAGTCTGATGTCTGCAGAACACAAGTATTGGGAGAAATGCTGTACATTTTTCCATGGGAGCCTAAATAGGCAACAGTGAGTTTTCTGGGTCGGGGCTATTTCCTGTACATCCCCCACCTGTTTCCTATGGGAACTCGTATTTCAGGAAAAAGGCATTGGATATCTTTGACACTCAGTGTCTCACAAGGAAGCATGAACTGGCATAAAAAGCAACCTTCAGGAGTTGGTTTTCCCTTTGACTTTAATATTTAAGTACAAGAAAATCTAAGTCTCAAAAATCTCAGGGGCCTGGATGATAGTATAATTGGCAGAAAGAACAGAGTTTGAGTCTGAGCGCAGGTGATAGTGGGCTGTTGCTGAATATGATGGGTTTCCTTTATATGCTTATTTAAATATGGTGAACCAATTGTTAAATGAAAGCTTACCCACAGTTTATTGTGCAAAACATAAGAGCAGAGTTGCCCAGAAGTGCACTCATCCATCCATTCATTCCTACACATGTTGACTCAAGGGCCCTCCACACACGAGGAGCTGTTCAGAGCTGGGACACAGGAGTGGGTGAAAATGGGAAATAATCACTGTCCTCACAGGGCTCACATTTTAATAGGGGTGAAAAAAATAAATATATAAGAACCATAACAGCACATGCTGGCTGCTTACTTTGTGCCTAGAATTCTCTGGAGCTCTTTCACATGTGGTAACCCAGTTAGTTCACATAAAAACTTTGTGATGTGAGTACTACTATTTATCCCAGTTTTACAGGAGATAAAGTGAGGCGGGAGAGAAATTAAGAAACTTGCCCAAGGTCATGCAGCTTATCAGTGGCAAAGCCAGGAGTCAAATCCAGGTGTCCCCATTGTCTGTGGGCTAACCTCTCCACTGCACTGGTGGCCCCAGGAGTGGAATACCCTGGGGGCACCTGTGCTGGGGAGGGAAATCAGGCAGGGCAGGGAGGAGCCGTGCCAGGCAGTGTGTGCTCCATGTTGTTTTTCATTTGAAATCAGAGCGCTCATTCTCTAAATGCTCCTTCTGCACTAACACTCATATGATTCTATTAAGCAGATCCTGGGGGAAAAAGTTGGAAAAAGTTGGAAAAAGTTTGTGTGCTCTTTAGTCTGCTCCCTTAGTATGGAAATCCCTCCATGAGAGCAATTAATTAGTGTGTTAGGTGGAATTTATTTTCAGTTTATTAGGTATCTATCACAAAGTACTTCATCCAATGGTCACATAAAGTCCTCACAGCATATCATTTATATGACACAGTCAATTCTTTGTAACTTTTGAAAGTTGGAAGAAAGCTAAACCCCTTCCTGGCAGCAGGTGAAATACTTCTCAAGATGGCAGAGACGGTCTGCTTCTCCGTGAGAAGTGTACCTTGATCTGTCCCTTCTTCTTCTCAGCATCTAGGAGCTCAGTCTGATGACAGGTTAAAGATTTAAGGAGGCTAATTCATACCTGCAGATTGGTCAAGAATATTAAATGGTTTTAGCTGGAAGATGTTCCTCTTAGACTAAGGTTTAAAACATCTGCCATTTCCTTCATGATTAAGAAAATAAACCTTACAGCAGGAATCTGTCATGTAATGTCTTCTACTGCAATTTCCCCAGGAGAGTGAAAATATGGGTTTTGCTCAGGCCATTTAAGGCTGTTGATAGAAATGGTAATTGAGAAGCTTGGATGGATGGGTGGGCAGTGTTTCCATGTGGGAGCATTCATACACAGAGAAGTCAGCTCATGCTGATGAGATTTTGTTTGTCTCTTCCCCCAACAGGGCTGTCTAACTACCCCCAACTCCCCATCCGTGAATTCCCGTTCCATGACGTTGGGTCCATCCTTCTCACTCAGCAACATCTCAGGAGTGTCTGTGAAGTCAGACATGAAGAAGCGCCGGGCCCCTCCACCTCCTTCCCTGCCTGGTGCGGGGCCACCTGCTCGAGACAAGGCATCAGAGAAGGTAGGGAGAGAGCAGCCCTGAGGAGCAGTGCATCTGTTAACGGGACCAGTGAACTCTGGAAGTTCCCTGTGTACACTACAGTCCTTCATGTTTGTGGCTTAAGCAACAGGAGTGTTTAGGGTGAATATTTAAGCTTCCTTTAGAAGTAAAGGTGAGATGCCACACTGCTTCAGTTATGGAAGGTAGGAAACTATTTTTTGTCTTTAGTCCTTAAAGGACTATGCTTGTTGATTAATATTAATTTTATTTTTAGCATTGAAATTTTGGGCATCATCGTGATTGCTTAATGAGAAAATTGCATGGTTACAGGGACTGTAAGAAATTTGGAGTGTATAGGATAAGGATGATACACAGTCTGATAGAGGTGCCCCACATAATGCAGATGTACAAGAAAGCAGAGAGTATTTTTGCATGGGAAGTTGCTTTCTGTATGGTGTAACGTTTATGTGGGGGGCCTTGTGTTTTCGAGCCTCCTGTTTTATCTTTATTTTCAAAGCAACCTAATGCCTTTGTGAAATGACTAAGTCACTATGTATTCCCCCGGGAGAAGCTGTGTCCTCAGCACCTGGGGTCTCCATCTGGGCTTCTTTCATCTGCCTGCTGACCCCTTAAAACCTCATTTGAATTATCAGACCCTCACTTTCCAGGAAGTAGGACACTCTTTGACAGGCACTCTTTCATGGCTTGGAATGTGACACTGTGAAAATGTGAAGTAAAGTTTTTATTTTCTAAACCCATCCTTATTGGGGTGGAGTGTGACAGGGACAATGAGGGTGGCCAGCATGGGACTCTGCTTTGTGCTCTTTTAGAAGCTGAGTCCTCCAGGGTTCCAAGGCAGACCAGGCTGTGTCCAGCAGCAGGGCCTGCTCCATATGTGCTGTAAGACGTTGGGTCCACCTGCAGGGTATAGATAAGGATGCATTATTCTTCATTAAGCTGAATGTTTCCTGCGGACTTGCATCCCAGCTTCCTGGGGAGGTACCGCACTGCAAACAGGAATATTTACGTAAAGTACATTTAAAACTCATTTATTCTCTCAGAGGAGCTTAATTTCCTGGCTCTTTCCTTCTGTTTTGGTGTCACTTGACCTGTCCCTGCTTCATAATTGTCAGTAGCATCACACTCCTGCTAGTCTTGATTTTCAAACCCTTTTTTCTTATTCACAAAATGGATTTTCCTTAAAATAAACTAGAAACTAAGTCTGTACCTCCCGAAGGAGAGACATGGTCCCTGGATCATGGTTAGAAGTTACGTAGTGGCTCTCTGTGCCATCCTTGTGACATCTCACTTAATTTCCTTTTCATCATGGTTGTCTGTCCATGTATCAGTCCGTCTGTCCAGCAGTCTGGATTAATCACTCATCTTCCTCGATCCCTCCAGGGGTTTTTTTTATCCCACATCTCAGAAACCACCCTGTTCCTGTCTTCAGACCTGCCATTCGTGGCCCTAGAAATGTGTCTGAGAGGCCTGTAATGCAACACAATTTAGAAGAAAATAGTTTGATTTTGTACTTCCTAAACATTTTGTAATGCTACTAATTTATTTTGAGTTTTGCATAATATTTTAGCTGTCTTTTGATAAAAAGAAATTTGGTTACAAATGGTACATCATTTTGTTGCATGCTTGCGTGATTATGTCAAAGTGAACATGAGGCTACTTCCTCTGATGGTCCACAGTGTACCTCTTGATTTTGCTTGGGTTTAGATTCTGAACGTTTTCATAACACACTAAGTATATTTATACCATTTAGCACTTTTCAACCACCTACCTCTGGGGATGTCTTTTGCTTTTGATTGGGAGGAGTATTTCTTTAGTGGAGAAGATTATGAATTCCAGTATCATCACTATTTAAGCTTTTTTTTTCCAACGAGAATTACATTTTCCTAATGTTATAGGATGTAGATGCTAAACCTCATCAGCGTTTTAAAAATTCTTCCATCCAGAGAGATGTTGTTGGTTTTTTTTCAGATTTTAATTTGCTTATCCAGAATGGATAAAGTCGGCTTGAGTGGGAAAATGTATAGTAAGTAGAGAATCAGGAATTTTGAATGAAAAATAAATAGTACTCTATACCCTGCAGAATGAACAGAGTTCCCTCTGAGGCAGTAAGAGACTTTTACTGAAATCTGTTTTATTTGGCAGAGAATAAGTGGAGAAATTGGCTCACAGAAACCATCTCCTTTTTTAAGCATACGAGCGGCATATGGATTAGATTTAAGCATTTGCTATGAACGTGCTTTTTTTTTTCTTTTTAAATGAAAAGTATTTTGTTATTTACTAATTTCTGGGAAAGGAACCCAAAAATGTATTGTCATCGCTGTTGGGGAAGAACGTCAATTCCTTCTCATGAACTTCCTTCCATATAAAGATAAGATGTTTGTTTGGAAAGCCTTAGTTATATGCAACTGTTAGTAACACCAGTATCCTGAATGAGAAGGAAAGTCATTTTCAAGGACATGACTGGTTTATAAGAAAATTAGAATACTTAAGTTTTTATATTTAAAACACTTTTTTTCTTATCAATTAGTATTAAAACTTCAGTATTTACTTATTCAGGTCTTAGAGGTGGAATAATTTCAGCCAATCTGAAACTTTAAAAAAAATGTAATCTTTGTATCAGTATTTGTTGTCTCATTCTATACTCATAACTTGATCATTAGTATTTGTTATTTCTAAAAGTACTTTTCAAAGAGATTATCTCGAGAGGTGTTAGAGCCAATGAAAGAAATGGATGGCGTCCTTGTGAAGCCTGTTAGCCGATGGGTAAAGCAGCACATTGTCTTTCAGGAGGAGGTAGAACCACTCTCTCCTGTCAGGCCTTCATCTCTCTCTTCCCAGAACCTTGAATGTAGTTTTAATTATGTGGAAACATTCAGACAGGAGTGATATATTATATATGTTAGGGCACCATATGCTAAGTCAGTATTTTTCAAATGTAAGTGAACATCAGAATCACCCCAAAGGGCTTGTTAAAACATATTTGACTTGGCTCCACCCGAGAGTTTCTGGTTCACTGGGTCCGGGGCAGGGCCTGAGAATGTATGTTTCAGCAAGTTCCCAGGCGAACCCCAACTTGAGAACCACTACTCCACAGAATGCTGCTGCCCTGATGTGCCCACTTAGAATTTGGGCTAATCAAGTGTGAGGGAGGGTCCACTCAGCATAAATATTTTTAACCGATCTGGATAAATTCATCAGCAGAAAAGTTATCTGAAGATGAGTGAATCTATGCTCTGCTGTGATAATTAAGAACAGTTTACCATATAGTTAGGTGAGGCCTCAAGTTAGATGTTAAGAAAAATAAACAGCTCTCCCTTCTTGCTGGAACCCAGGGAATGCTCTTGTGAGGGGACGGAGGAAGTGCCTGTTCCGGACGGGATCTTTCTTCCTCTTTTATCTTCAAGGTTCTACATTGTCCTCTCCCCATCTTGCTCCGTGCTGAGATGACTTCACGTCCTGCCCTTGGCCCTGATCAAGGGCTAGAATTCTCTCTTGCGGCACCTGTGTTTGGGTCAGAACCCCTGTTGTATACTATGTCTTAGCAACTCCTCCCCAAGGAGATTTGTCTTCCTGCCGTTTGTGCTCATTTCTCCCTCTTGGGCTGCTCTTAGAACAGCGTGGCTCAGTATTCAGATTATGAGGAGGGGCTATGGACACAGATGCCTGGGTAGGCATCCCTCCACTCACTCTCTGTTCCTCAGTTTGTCCTCCGCAAAACAAACAATAAAAGCAACATTCCCAGGTGCCTGGTGTAGAGGTCAGAGCATGGACCTGGGAGCTGCTTCCTGGGTGCGGATCCCAGCTCTGTCATTCCTGTTAACGTCACCTGGGCAAGTTATTCACCTTCTGTGCCTCATTTCCTTAGGTGTGCAGACTGCATGGTGATGGAGTGGAGGTGAGAGCCAGCCAGTGGGGGATGGAGAACCAGCGCGCCTAAGGCAGGGAGGGCTGAGCAGTGGGGGAGAAGGCTCTGTGTTAGCCAAGGTCCTGCATTAACTGAAGGGTAGATTATATTTAAAAAGGGAACTTTCTATTGCTCCCAGCACCAAACGTATAATTAAAAAACCACCAAGCCCCTGGAACAGGCTTATTTTGTTCAGTAATGCCAGCACCCTCTCTCCTCTCTAGGTGGCATTTTCCCCTTTTGGCCATGAATGTGAACTTGCTAGGCCACACCTTCAGAGAACTGTGGGGGGCGAGACAGTTACTCACCCCTTTAAGCACTGAGAGCCTCTGTTTGAGAAGAACGAGAATAGAATGCTGGCAAGTCATCCTTACTTAGATGACTCAGTTTACCTGTTCAAGATGGAAACAACCCCATAGATCACACTAGCTGACATCTTCATCTGTAGAATACTTGGCTGGTTACAGAGCAGCTTATTTCAGTTTTTATCTCCATCAGTTGATTTAAAATAAGTAACTTGTGGAAGTCTATTAGACAATGCTGTGTTGTCCACTTTTAGTTATTATCCACAAATATAGAATAAGCAACTAGTCATTAATTTATTCAGTCAATATACGGTTCTTATACACTTGCTTTTGTGCCGATAATAGCTATAAATCCTTTTTTATTCTAAGTACAAGTCATTCAAAAAATATTTTAGTTATTCTGGCTTTCTTTTGTCCTATATTATTTGAATTATTGTGTTCATTATGTTCAACACCATAAAACTCCAACATGGCAAGTATATTTCTTCATTACCTCAAGTTTATTGCATTGGGACTAAAATAACTAGTGATGCTGGCTATTAAAATGAGAGATGATGGAGGCGTGTGTTATGATCAGTTACTTGTATAACCCAAAACGGACTTTTCTAATAAAAATTTGCTCATATATTCAATAAATATTGTTGAACAGCTGCTATACGCAAGGCCCTGCACTTGAAAACATGAATTGATAATCGTTACTGTAATATCTCAGTGCAGTGTACACGTAAGAACACAGTATTTCGTACTGTGTAAATATTTAGGATGGTCTGCACATGTTAGAAATTTAGCAG